GTTGCAGCCATCATTGTTGTTTGGTGGGCCTGGGCTGGATTTGAACCCACCACCTTAGGTGTATGTGGCTGGCGCCTTAGCCACTTGAGCCACAGGCGCCGAGCCCCTTCTAGGTATTGTTAAAGCTGACATATACATTAAGTATAAGTTTTCTGGGTGGACGGGTTTTATTTTTTTAATTTTTTTTTTGAGACACAGTCTCACTTTGTTGCCCTTAGTAGAATGCCGTGGCATCACAGTTCACAGCAACCTCCAGCTTTTGGGCTTAGGTGATTCTCTTGCCTCCTGAGTAGCTGGGACTATAGGCACCCACCACAACACCCGGCTATTTTTTTTGTTGCAGTTTGGCTGGGGATGGGTTTGAACGTACCACCCTTGGTATATGGAGCTGGTGCCCTACTCACTGAGCCACAGGTGCCGCCCTGGGTGGACATGTTTCAATTTCCTAGGTATATACCCATGAATAGAATTGTTGTGTCACATCGTAATTATATTTAACTTTGTGAGGAAATGGCCAAACTGTTTTCCATAGTGGCTCTACTGTTTTTCATTCCTACCAGCAATGTTTGGGGATTTCTATTTTTCCATATACTCATTGATACTATTTTTTTTTTTTTTTGAGACAGAGTCTCACTTTGTCACTCTTGTAGAAAGCTGTGGCATCATAGCTCACAGCAACCTCTAACTCTTGGGCTCAAGTGATCTTATTGCCTCAGCCTCCCAAGTAGCTGGGACTACAGGTGCCCACAACACCCAGTTAGTTTTTCTATTTTTAGTAGAGATGGAGGTCTTGCTCATGCTCAGGCTGGTCTAGAACTCCTGAGCTCAGGCAATCCACCTGCCTTGGTCTCCCAGAGTGTAAGGATTATAGTTATGAGCCTCTGTGCCCAGCCTTTTTTTTTTAAGTAAAAGCCATCCTAGTGGGTGTGAAGTGCTATTTCATGGTGGTGTTGATTTGTCCCTCCCTGATTATTGTGACATTGACTATCTTGTCATGTGCACTGGGTTATCTTCTTTGAAGAAGTATCTATTCAACTCCCTTGCCTGTATTGTAAGTACAAGCAAAAGTTGAACTGTTTTAGCTATAAGCAAAAATCTTAAGTAAAAGCGATACATCTCAAGATCAAATATTTACCTTTTTCAGTGAGCATCTATTGAGCATTCTCCTTGTATGGTGGCACTGGGGGGGTGACAGCATAGGCAGTGGGAAAGATAGGCAAGAAGAGTTTATGACATTATAAAGAGAAGGATGCCATGGCTCATGCCTATAATCCCAGCACTTTGAGAGGGCAAGGTGGGAGGATCTCTGAGACCAGGAGTTTGAGACTAGCATGGGCAACATAGCAAGATCCTGTCTCTCCAAAATATGTAGAAATTAGCTGGGCATGGCAGTATGTGCCTTTAGTCCCTCCCAGTGACTCGGTAAGTTGAGGCAGGAGGATTGCTTGAGCCCAGGAGTTTGAGATTGCAATGAGCTATGATGACAGCACTGCATTCCACCCTAGGACACAGAATGAGGCCCTGTTGAGAGAGCGAAATAGGGATAGATTCCTTATAAAGGAATCACGGTAAAGTATGGTCCTCAAGATCCAACATCAGCCCTATCCATTATCATTTAAAAAACTTTAAGAGATAGGATCTTACTCTGTGGTCTAGATTGGAGTACAGTGGCATGATCATACCTTACTACCACCTTGAACTCCTTACTACCACCTTGAACTCCTAGACTCAAACTGTCTTAGTCTCCCCTTAGCTGGGACTATAGGGGTGCACCACCGTGTCTGGTTAATTTAGAGATAGGGTCTTGCTATGTTGCCTAGGCTGGTCTCAAGCAATCCTCCTGCCTCAGCCTTCCCACGTGCTGGAACTACAGGTGTGAGCCACCACTCCTAGACTCCAGTATCATTTTTGGCAGTCCTTAACCCCTGAATGAGCCCAGTGAGACCACACCCTACATAAAACCAAACTCCTTCCTGTGTACCTTCCGAAAAGTCCATGGCTCCAGCAAATACTAGGGCTGCAAATTCTCCCACACTGAATCCAGCAGCAGCAACACAGTTCTCAATGACCTGTGGTAACAGATGCAGAACATGAGGCCAAATTCTCTGGAGCTCAGTTCTGGAGCACTTGCAGTGAGAGATGGCAGGGAGTTGTGCACTTCAGTGAGCAGGTCCCACTAGCCTGGTGCTCCAGCAGAACGAGGACACCTAGATATGGCCTTCACAGTCACTGGTTACAGCCCCTTTATAGATGAGTAACTTCTCTGGTGAGTTAAAGCCCAGGCAACTCCATGGTCATGCTGACTCCAACTCAGGGCTCTACCTTCTTTTGCCTTGGCCCTGCAGTGGCATCTCAGTCCATATAGTATGTAAAAGATAAGCGCAGAAGGGCATGACTTTTGGAGTCACAAAGACTAGATAGATTTCTTAGCTTAGTGGAGTTCCCTAATCCTTCTCAGCTTGTTACTACCTCATGTGCGAAAGGTGAGAGGAGCAGGGCCTATGTCAAAGGGCTGCTGAATTACATGAAAAGAACATCTATAAAGTGCTTATAGCAGACATGGCCCAGGGTAAGCAGTGAAATGGGTGTTATTATCATGACTCAGTAGAACTACTTAACTAATTCCTTTAATATCCCCAATTCTTTCCTCTTCCATAAAATAACTTCACAGATAGATGGTTGCGGAGGTGAAATGGGGTAAAGGAGCTCAAGTATTAGCTTGATATTATTAAATATTAATATCAACTCACCACTTCCATGAAGGGACATTTTCAAATATCATCTTCTCAATGACCTTTCATTTAAGGATTAAGTTTAATCCTTTTAAAATCATCTAATAGTTAATCAAATGATTGTGGATCACTTAAAATAGCAACCCAGCCCTCCACTCCTTAACCTGTCCCAGATTTCATTCAGTAACGCTTATCTTCTTTAACACACTGTGTAATTTACATAATTAGTAAAGTTAGCTCCCCGAGAGCAGGGGTCCATGTCTTGTTCAGGGTACCTAGAACGTGCCTGGCATATTATAGGATCTCAGTAAGAATCTGTTGAATGAGTCAAACTCGGGAGCCCATTAGCCCGGCAGGCGACAGCCTTAGGGCAGGCCCCCGCTTGGTCGCTAGAGCTTGGGCAGAGCCCACCTAACCAGACCTGCTATGGGGCTCCGGGCCTCACCGCTGGCTGCAGGTGATGGAGTTTCTCGACCGCGGCCAGCGAAGCCACGAAGATAGCGGGCTGGCAGTACGCGGTGCGGTCCAGGGCCTCCTGCGGCCCGTGCAGGCTCAGCTCCAGCAGATCGTAGCCCAGGACGCGGTGGGCGGCGGCGTAGAGCTCTCGGACGCGTGGGTAGGCGAGCAGACCGCGACCCATGCCCACCACTTGGCTACCCTGGCCAGGGAAGAGTAGCACCGAACACTGGTCCGGCATTCGCCGCGTCGTCGCTGGCACGGGCTCCTCCTCCGCCACTGTAGCTCCTCGCAGCAGCTCTGCCACCCTCTCGGCGCCCGGCGGGAACACCGGGAAGCTTGAGGCGCCGCGGCGGCAGCCGGCACCCCAACCCCAGGCCCACGCGGCCCTCGCAGCCCGCGCGTTCATGGCGCAACACCAGCGCCGCGCCCGTTACTGCGGCGACCGAGCCCCGATCGCGGCGGCGCTGCGCTGCGTGGTCCCTGGCGCATTTCTTGTCGGGCCGCCCGGGGCACGCGGAAGCAGAAAGAAAGGTTCCGTAGTTACTGGTTCCGCCTGGCTTCCAGACGCTGCATGGCTGTGTGCTGGGGGCCTAGAGTGAACCAAGCGCTTACTTAAACCTCCACAGCCAAGAGTGGAACTCAATACCCCTGCACAAGCGAGCCCTCGACAGATACTTGTGTAATAAATAACGCAACGCAATGTAATATTTACTCTTTCTACTTAGCCCATGAAGAGTACTTGAAATTTCCAAATTCTTCATATATGATTTTCCCAGCATGAAGCAAGATAACAGCTGTCTTTTATGTTTCCTACAAATCAGCTACGATGTCTGTTACTAGCATTCAACAAATCTTTATGCCATTGAACAAAACCCTGAATATCTTTCAGATATTAGCTTACATAATTCCTTGTGGCAAGGCTGTGATGGGTAGGTAGGTGATATCCTCAACTTAGAGGTGAGTAGATAGGGGTCACAGATTGGGTGATAGGTGGTTAGGAACAGAACAGGAATTGGAAATTGGGGTTATCTAGTGTCAACCTAAAAGAAACTCAGAGAGACAGGCTATCCAGAAAAAATGACTTCATTTGGGAATAACAGAAGGATTGCAATCTGAAATACAAGTGGGCAGGCAGGGGTATCTAAGTGGGTGGGGGGTGGGGTAGGGAAGGGGAATCTTTTAATGACAAAGAGAAGTCACTGAAGCTGTTTTGAAACTAAAGGTTACAAAGATCAAACTTTACAGGAGTTTGTTGCAGGATTGGTGTGCGCTTATCAGCCATTGCTGGGCAAGTGTTGTGAAGGTATCTTTTCTGAGTAGCTGGGACTACAGGGGCCTACCACAAGCCCTGGGTAACTTTTCTATTTTCACTAGAGAGAGTTCTCACTCTTGCTCAGGCTGGTCTAGAACTCCTGAGCTTAAAGTATCCTCCCACCTCAGACTCTCAGAGGGCTAGGATTACAGGCATGAGCCACCATGCCCAGGCTTTTTCTCATTTCTTTCCAGCCACATCTACAGAACCAGGACACACACACCCCACACATCATACTGAGACGATCTAGGTAGTCTTAGTCTGTTTGGGATGCTATAACAGAATACCATAGACCAGGGGCTTAAACACCAGAAATTTATTTCTCATAGTTTTGGAGGCTGGGAAGTCCACGATCGGGGCACCTGCAGATCTGGTGTCTGATGACAGCCTGCTTCCTGGTTTCCAGATGGCTGGCTTCTTGTTGTATCTGCATGTGGTAGAGGGCAAGGAGTGAGAGAAAGCCCATGTCTCTTCCTTTTTTTTATAAGGGCATTAATCCTATTCAGAAGGCTCCATGAGATGAAGGTGATGATATAATCACCTCCCAAAGGCCCTGCCTCTAAATACCATCACACTGGGGATTAGGCTTCAGCACATGAACTTTGGAAGGACACAAAATTCGGCCCATAGCAAGCCACATCAGCTAATGTACTCCACTGTCCTAAGAAAAAAATCAAATAAAGCCAGGCACAGTGGCTTACAGCTGTAATCCTAGAACTCTGGGAGGCCAAGGCTGGTGGATCACCTGAGCTCAGGAGTTTGAGACCAGCCTGAGCAAGGGTGAGACCCTGTTTCTATTAAAAACTGAAAAACTGGCTGGGTGCAGTGGCTCACGCCTATAATCCTAGCACTCCAGGAGGCCAAGGCAGGTGGAATGCTTGAGCTCATGAGTTCGAGACTAGCCTGAGCAAGAGCAAAACCCTGTCTCTACTGATTATAGAAAAACTGAGGCAAGAGGATCACTTGAACCCAAGAGTTGGAGGTTGCTGTGAGTTATGATGATGGCACAGCACTCTACCTAGGGTGACAGCTTGAGAGAAGGAAACAAAAAAAAAAAAAAAAAAAAAAGAAAGTAAGAAAGAAAGAGAAAGAAAAAGAATCAACTAATCAAAGACCTAAGTCTCAAGACATCCATGGCAGCCCTGCTTTTGATAAGGAAATAGCATAGAGAAGCTGGATGTCCAACAAGAGAGGATTAGTTAAAGTATAGCTATTCGGTACTATGGTCATAAAAGATAAGGAGGAGATTTTCAGGCTAAGACATGCATAGAGCACACACTGTCTCTGGAAGCCCATAAATCCATAGCAAAGGGATATTTTAAAAACACAAATCTGTAAGAACAGGAAGAACAGGAAAGGGGACTGCAGCCCCAGAGCCTGGAATGTGGAAAGCAGGTAGATTGATGCCACCTGACTTAGCTGATCTCAGACAGCTGAATCCCTCCCAGCAGTGGGCAAAGCTGAGAACCAACAACCCTTCATCACACAACAGAAGGTTCAAAGGCTTAAGAATGCGATCACAACCAGTTATAGGTTCCTTTGTTCCTTCTCCACTCCCACGGCTTCACTTGAGTAGTTTTTAATAAAACTTAAGTCCTGGGCCAGGGACGCGGTGGCTCACGCCTGTCATCCTAGCACTCTGGGAGGCTGAGGCGGGTGGATTGCTCTGAGCATATAGGTTTGAGACCAGCCAGAGAGAGACCACCTCTCTAAAAATAGCTGAGCATTGTGGGGGGCTCTTGTAGTCCCGGCTATTTGGGAGGCTGAGGCGAGAGAATCACTTGAGCCGAAGAGTTGGAGGTTGCTGTGAGCTATGATGCTACAGCACTCTACTGAGGGTGACAAAGTGAGACTGCATCTCAAAAATAAAAAAAAACTTAAGAGCTGACAGCAGTACCTGCTTCTAGGACTAAAGATGAAAGAAGACTGAAACCAGAGGACTATTTGAAGGTGTCTTTGAGAAGCAGATCTTTAGTTTTTTGTTTTTTGTTTGTTTGGTTTTTTTTTTGTAGAGACAGAGTCTCACTTTATTGCCCTTGGTAGAGTGCCGTGGCATCACAATGCTCACAGCAACCTCCAACTCCTGGGCCTAGGCAATTCTCTTGCTTCAGCCTCCCTGAGTAGCTGGGACTACAGGTGCCCACCACAACGCCGGCTATCGTTTTGTTGCAGTTTGGCCGGGGTGGGGTTTGAACCCGCCACCCTCGGTATATGGGGCTGGTGCCCTACCCACTGAGCCACAGGCGCTGCCTGAGAAGCAGATCTTTAGACCCCACTCTCGCTGTCTAGTCACTGGGCGAGGTCCCTTCCCAACTCTGGCAAGTATCTGGAATTTAGTTCTGGAAAGGGTCCCAGGCTCTCCAGGCTGGAGATGGCAGGGACAGCGGTAAATGTAGGTAATCTGCCCAAACAGGTCGACACCGAATACTGAACGCAGAGACCTCCTCCAGTGCTGACCCTAAGTGAGCTCCCCTCAAACCTAGAGCCAGACCCTCACCCTCCAGGCAACAGACTGGAGGACTCTGACCTGCCCAAAAGGAAAATGCTGACAGTATTGACCATCCAGAAAGTTTCCAGAACTTGCAACACCAACATCACCTTGTACTTAAACTAAACCAACAAATATCACCCATGGACTTTGTTCATTTCTTTAATCCTGAGCATCCTGCCTAAGATTTCCAAGCATTTGAGCGAAGTGGGGAAGGCAGTGAATAGGACTCAGAGACTATGAAGAGAGAAGGAAATAATTGTCACTGATACCTTTTTTTTTTTTTTTGACCAGGGCTGGGTTTGAACCTGCCACCTCGGGCATATGGGGCCAGCACCCTACTCCTTTGAGCCACTGCCCTGTCACTGATATCTTTAAGAGGTAAGAGAAGACAGTGTCTCCACGAAACAGGAACAGGAAATTGCCCATATTCTGAGTAATAGGAGCTACGGGAAGAGAAGTGAGAAAATGGAAGGAAGGAAATTAAAGAAAGAATCCAATTTATAAAAAATAAAAACCATGAGTTTCAAATGGAAAGTGTCTCTTGACTTCTGGCATAATTGTTGAAATCAGACTCGCACAGAGAAATATCAGTGTGAAATTTCAGAACTCTAAGCCAAAAATCTTAAACTTCCAGGGAGAACACAGGAGATTACATTCAAAAGCTCCAGGAACAGGCCAGGCATGGTAGCTCACTCCTGTAATCCTAGCACTCTGGGAGGCCAAGGTGGGAGCAGTGCTAGAGCTCAGGAGTTAGAGATCAGCCTGAGCAAGAGTGAGACCCTGTCTCTACTAAAAATAGAAAAACTAGCTGGGTATTGCAGCAGGCGCTGTAGTTTCAGCTACTCAGGTGGCTGAGGGAAGAGGATTGCTCAAGCCCAAGAGTTTGAGGTTGCCACCTCAAACTGGGCTGGGTCTGATTGTGCTGCATGGCACTCTAACCAGGGTGACAGAATGAGACTCGATGTCTCAAAAGAAAAAAATCGGTCCTCTGGAGCATTGGAGGGTGTGCTCCATTTTCTTCCCCTGATGGACTGACACTGGGGCTGCATGGCACTGTACCCAGGGTGATAGAATGAGACTCTGTCTCAAAAGAAAAAAATCAAAAAACCCGAAAGCTACAGAAACAAGTGTCTCTAGTCTGCTTGCCCACTATGGGTGGCAGCTGGACGATAGCACATCTTCTGTCAACGATAGGGGGATTCTGATGAACCACAATCTCCAACTTTAAATTCTTTTTTTGTTTGTTTGTTTGTTAGTTTTAGAGACAGAATCTTACTTTGTCGCCCTCAGTAGAGTGCTGTGGCATCACAGCTCACAGCAACCGCCAACTCCTGGGTTTAAGCGATTCTCTTGCCTCAGCCTCCTGAGTAGCTGGAACCACAGGCTCCCACTACAGCGCCCAGCTATTTTTTGTTGCAGTTTGGCCGGGGCTGGGTTTGAACCCACCACCCTCAGTATATGGGGCTGGCGCCCTACTCACTGAGCCCCAGGTGCCGCCCATTCAACTTTAAATTCTTATGCAGCCAACCACGAATCAGCCATGAGGTAGACTGCAGGATTTCACAAATGTTACCTTCCTTGAACTCTTTCTCAAGAACTCCTGGATATGCACAACCAGGGGAACAAGGAGGAGGAAGATGAGCAATCCAGGAAATAAGGACCATTCGAGAGAGGAGCAAGGGGTGGGGGTGGAGGAAGTCCTGGGATGATGTTTATGTCAGGCGTGTGCAGCCAGCGAGCTGGGAGCAGTGTGACTCCAGATGTACTGGGAGCTGTCATTACGCAGATGCCTGCTGCTGCTGCCCCTTATTGTAAGAACCAAATGTCGGGGAAGCCTGGCCCAGAGTCTTGTCTGCACTCGGCTGGTCCTAATCACAGGACCAGGTTGAAGAACCCCTCTTCTCCCCACTCCACGTCTTACTGCCTGGGGCAGCTGAGGACACTTGGTCCCCCTAACAGAAGCATCCAATTTCACTCCTGAGATCTGAACACAGGGCACAGTGAGCTCAGAAGCAAGAACACAGAGCAGCCTCTGTCTGTCCTTGACTATTTCTTGCTGCATGTTTATGCCACTGCCCTGTCAGATGTCCAGACAGGGCAGCCCCACCCACAGCCTTGCCCTTTGACTTCCCCGGAGGGGACTCTTGTCAGTGCTCTTGGAGGCTGAGGCCAGCTTGTGCCCCAGAGACTCAGCTGACTGTTACCTTCCCAGGCATCTTTTTCTGGTCTGGCTATGGTCCCTGTTTGTCCTTAGTCAGGTGTGTGTTGCCTTAGCTGGTCAGAACTCATGAACATCGTGCTCGGGGAAACTGACCCAGTGGGGATCCACAAAGCTCTACAGGACGGCAAGTGGGAGTGCAAACAAAAAATCAAGGTAGAGGTCACCTTTGGGTTGGGGGCAGGAATTACTAGCAAGAGCGCCGGTGGGGGGTATCCTAGCACACTGGCAATGTTCATTAAGGTGGGGGTGGGCATCCTAACATTCTTTTTATTTATTTATTTATTTATTTATTTATTTTTTGAGACAGAGCCTCAAGCTGTTGCCCTAGGTAGAGTGCTGTGGCATCACAGCTCACAGCAACCTCCAACTCCTGGGCTCAAGCGATTTTCCTGCCTCCGCCTCCCAAGCAGCTGGGACTACAGGTGCCCACCACAACGTCCGGCTATTTTTTGGTTGCAGCCGTCATTGTTGTTTGGTGGGTCCCAGCTGGATTCAAACCTGCCAGCTCAGGTCTATGTGGCTGGTGCCTTAGCCACTTGAGCCATAGGCGCCAAACCTCTTTTTATTATTTTAAAGTGCACACATATACATTTCTGTTTGGAAAATTTCACAGTAAAAAAAACACTGTAGACATGTGTGTTATTGTAAAAAGAGATGTTAGATTTATTGTAAAGGGAAGAAAACAATAAAAGCATTTATATATCTTGGTGCCTGCAGCTCAGCAGCTAGGGTGCCAGCCACATACACCAGAGCTGGAGGGTTCGAATCCAGCCTGGGCCGGTCCTGCCAAACAACAATGACAACTATGACCAAAAAATAGCCGGGTGTTGTGGTGGGTGCCTGTATTCCCAGCTACTAGCGAGGCTGAGGCAAGAGAATCACTTAAGCCCAAGAGTTTGAGGTTGCTGTGAGCTGTGACGCCACAGCACTCTATCCAGGGCCACAGCTTGAGACTCTGTCTCAGAAATAAAAACACATAAATAAAATAAAAGCATGTATAGCATTAAGGCGTTCTGGCAAAGGAACGTGTGCAGTGCCCAGAAGGTGCTGGCAGTGCTTTGTTCTAGAAGATGGGAGAGTGGGTGACTTTATTTTTTTCCTTTTTCTTGTCTGTATTTTCCAATTCCTTTACAATAACCATGGATTATTCATGTAATAAAGTAAACACATACATAACATATAAGTAATACTGTACTTGAGTCACACTAGGACTGGACAGCCAAGTGGCACTGTGGTTGAGAGTGGCCCAGGCTGCCTGGGTGTGAACCTGCCTACCTCTCTGAGGAGCTGTGTGGCCCTGGGGCTGTCTCTTCACCCCTCTGAGCACAAGTAGGCTCAGTCCCCTGGGGTATGGGAGGGTGTGCTCCATTTTCTTCCCCTGGTGGACTGACGCTGGGTCTGGGGCTAATTGTGCTGCATCTTCTTTGAGGTGCCCCTAGGTATGTCTCCAGGTGGCACATGCCACATGCCCCAGGGGCTCCCATGCTTAATGCTGTGGAGACAATACAGAATTGGGGTTCTGGAAGAGCTTCCTGAGGTATGCTGGAGAAGTGGTTAGACTTAGATGTGTGGAAATGGTTTGGCGGGGCAAAGAGTGCTCTTAGGCAGGGGGAACAGAGTATGCAAAGGCACAGAGGTGGGAAAAGGTGGGGTAATCAGCTTGACTCCAGCTTGGTAGGGCCTCACATGCCAAACTAAAGGACTAGATTCTAAGGCAGTGGGAACTGCAGGGTCCTGAGCAGAGGAGGGGCGAGGTCAGATTACATGGAACAGTAGGAAGGGACAAGGTGGGAACTAGAGGCCAGCAGGGCCCTGTGGCTGCTGCACAGGGGAGAGCAAAGGCTGTGCCCAGATTCCAGTGGGGTCCGTGGGAATGGACAGGAAGGAGGCAGAAGTAATAGGGAAGCTGCCAGGGCATCCTCCATCTGCATCCAAACCTGCATTGTGAATTGCTCAGACAGCAACTCCCCCTTTGACGTACAGTGTTGCCATCTGTGAAATGGGTATGAACTTCATGAGGGCAGACATCCTGTATGCTTGTCCTCATCCCTCTCTTTGGCCTTGGTATGCTGTAAGTATTTGTGCACAGAAATTCCTGCCTCCCAGGGTGCCCCCATGGGCTAGTGCCCTGGGGGCAGTAGCAGTAAGGCCAAAGAGTTGCTACTCTGCCAAGCATCACGCAGTTCTTTACTGGAAGGCAGTCAGGGCTGGCAGCCCAGGGGAGACATGACCAGCAGGAGCAGCAGGCACACAAAATATTACTTTCTTTTAAATCAGAAGAAAAAGATGGATAAAATCTAGCCTGGCTTATGCCTATCTTTAGACCAATATAGTAAAAAATAGAATGTGTAAGTGTGCTTGCTTTTAATGGAGGAAGGGTCCTACAAAGGCAAAAATGACAGGCCCTAGGAAAGTCACATGAAGCCCTGCCTGGTCCCCAAAGAGGCCTCGGGCCTGGGAAGAAGTAGCTGCAGTTCTCCCGGGCTTCCGGAGGACCAGTTTGGGTGTGGCTGAGGGGCACTGCCAGGCCGAGGCAGCTGAGCGGGCTGGGAAGGGTCTGGGTTGCAGTAGTAAAGCACTCCCCTCCCACCTGCGGATGGGGAGGGAGTCGCTGAAGGCCTGGGCATGGACATACGCCAAATGAGAAGTGACTCAGGCAAACTGGAGGTCCCCTCTGGGCTGTGACAACGGCAGCCCTCACTTACTGAGTCCTCCATTTACTGAGGACTGCGGGGTGCCCTGCATCGTTACCACGTGGCATCCTCATCTGCTCAGCCAGACTCTGCATTTTACAAATGAGGAGATGAGGCTGTGAGAACCAGCCATAAAGTGGCCGAGTCAGCCCTGGGGCAAAAGCTAAAGGAACTGGGGTGCCCCTCCAGAAACGGGCCCAGGGCTACTGTACAGGAGATCGTTCAAGGCCAAGACGGTCAATCTTGTTGCCTCACTTTACAGATGGGAAAAGTGAGGCTCCGGAAGAGCCGAGATCTGCCTGTGGATTATCACTCCCTGGGTCTGGCTGGGCAGGCGGCCGTCACCAGTCACCGTAGGGAGTAGTCGTCGAGAGATCTCCTCGCGGTCCGGGAAAGGCAGAAGTGGGCTTTGCTAGCTGGGCGGCTCAAAGGAGCGCGCTCGGGGTCCCAGAAGGGGATCTCGGTCACCCAGGGCAGGGCGGGGCGGGGCGGGGCGAGGCCGGGCGGGACCTGGAGGGCGGAGCCGGATGGGCGGGGGCGGGCCCGGCGGGTGGAGCGGGTCTGGGGACCCCGGGCCAGCACCTCCCGCCGCTCACTGTCCTTTCCTGAGCGTGTCCTCACCGCTGGTGAGTGGGAAAGGGACGCGGAGGGGATGGGGGAGTAGCCCACGTGGATGCGACCTGGATAGCGCCCGCTTGCCGGCGCAGGGTCGCAGGGGAAACCGAGGCGCGAGCCGCGGTCCCGGGACTCCAGTAGGAGGCCGCGGGGCAGAACTTGGGGCTCGGCCGCCTGGTCAGCGTGCGGAGAGGCAGGCAGGGGTGGGCGGCCCAGGCCGGGCCTCTGCAGTCGGGGTTCCTGTGCCGAAAGGATCCGGCTGAGGGGTCGGGCGTGGGGGACCTTGGGCAACCGTGCCCCGCCCTCCTGCCCCCCTCCACCCGGCCTCCGGTTCCGCAGGAAGCGCGGCCGCGGGGGGAGGGTGGGACACCCCCATCTCCCGCCCATTCCGCGGATGAGCCACCCTAGGAGGGGCTCCCTTGAGGATCACAAAATGTCTAGGGAACCTTGGGCTTCCGCGCCGCTTGGGACACTCCTTTCGTGCTGGAAGAAGACAGTCCAGATCTCGGAAGTTTTTTGCCCAAAGCCAGTTAGAAGCCCTGCTTGGTCTTAGAACCGGGTCCTTGGATCCCCAGCCCAGTGCTTAGGCGCGCTGTGGCCTGGACAGGATTTAATGTGAGCAGAGTACTCTGGGGTCCGGTCTGAACCGTCCTCCCCCCATCCCCGCGCCCTTTTGCAATCAAGAATCAGAGCCAAGGTGAGAAGGGATGTGGGACTTCCACTGTGACACACCGCGAGTGCCCGGTCAGTTTCGCGATGCCCAGGCCTGGCGCAGGCTGGAGCCCCCGCGGCCTGCAGGGCCAGGTGTTAACTGGTGCAAGCTCTGCGCCTTGAAGGGACAGCAGGAGGGGCAGGACGTGAGCCCCCCCCCACCCCCTCCCGGGATAGGGATCCAGGCTGTTCCAAGTTCCAAGATAGTCCCAGGCAGGGAGGGGGTGTCAGAGGAGGTTGTGTATAGGAAGCAGCCGCCCAGGGCGCCTAGCACACAGGGGGCCCGCCCCCAGAGGCCTGTTGCTGGGGATGAGGCAGGGCTTGTGTCTCTGTGGAGTTGCCTCCCCACCCACCACAGGCTAGGAAGGCAGGTTTCCACTGGCCCTGAAAGGGGAGGCCAGCAAGCTTTTTAGTGGAGAATGTTTGAGTGTCTCCATGGCTGCTCCCAGGGAGGATCCAATCCTGGGCCCCTAAGAGAGCACTTAGACTAGGGGGTACTGATGCTCACCAGACGAGCCCTTTGCCCAGAGCCAAGCTGTGGTGGAGCCAGGGCTTGAACTTGAACCTTCTAAGCACAGGGCATGTTTTGCTCCACTGTGAAGGAGCCCTCCCCACCCCCTCACCATGTAGAGTATGGTATGTACACATTTGTGCCTGGCCATGAGGCAACAATGTCTGGCTAGATGTACAACAGACTGTTGACAGTGGGTCTCCCAGGTCTGGAGTCAGGGCTTGGGCTGGTGGGAGGAGAGCTACTTCTCCTATATACACTTTATATGGTGTTTTCATTATTTTATTTTTGAATCTCTTTCATTTGTGTTTTCTTTTACTTGTAAAAAAAAAATTTTTTTTTTTTTTATTGTGCTGACAGTGCCTAGTTGTGTTCTCTAAAAGAATAGTCTCTTGGCTCGGCGCCTGTGGCTCAAGCGGCTAAGGTGCCAGCCACATACATCTAAGGTGGCGGGTTCGAATCCCCAGCCCAGGCCCGCCAAATAATAATGATGGCTGCAACCAAAAAATGGCCGGGCACTGTGGCGGGTGCCTGTAGTCCCAGCTACTTGAGAGGCTGAGGCAGGAGACTCGCTTGAGCCCAGGAGTTGGAGGTTGCTGTGAGCTGTGATGCCACAGCACTCCTGTGAGCGTGATGCCATGGCACTCTACCCAGGGGGATAGCTTGAGACTACGTCTCAAAAAAAAAAGAAAAAAAAAAAAAAAGAATAGTCTCTCTCCATAAAGCAAATTCCCTGGTCATGCTGCACCCACGCCCCCTGGATACCTCCTTATTACCTGTTGTCTATTACGGTTACTTTCATAATGAAAAAGGTTCACAGCTGGGCCTGGTGGGCTCACCGGGCTCCCAGAATCCCAGCACTCTGAGAGGCCAAGGTGGATGGATTGCTTGAGCTCAGAAGTTCGAGACCAGCCTGAGCAAGCGTGAGACCCTGTCTCTACTAAAAATAGATAGAAAATAGAAATAGCTGGATGTTGTGGTGGATGCCTGTAGTCCCAGCTATTCTGGAGGCTGAGACTCTTAGGAGATCTCTTGAGTTTGAGGTTGAGGTTGCTGTGATCTACGATGCCACGGCACTCTATCTTGGGGTGAGAGAGGGAAACTGTGTCTCAACAACAACAACAGGTTCACAAAGGTTATAATGAGGATGATTAGCTGTGAGTCATTTTTATAAGTACTGCGCGCTAAACTATTGCACCATTGGAGCTCCTGTGAGTCATTTTTTTAAAAAGCCCTAAAACAAGTCTCTGAGACTGTAATATCTTTGAGAGAGAGAGAGTCTCAGTAGATGCTGGTTGCAGCAGGGAGAGTGGGCAGCAGAGAAAGGGCACAACTCTTTGTTTTGTTTCTGGGTCACTTACAGGGAAGTCAGAGAACAGGAAGATACCCTAAGATCTACTGGCCCAGACCCCTTTCACAGATGGGGCACAGAGACTGAGGAGATGGGACATTGGGCAGCGACAGGTGTGGGGTCTCCTGGCCAGGGGCAAAGCCTCAGGGGAACTGGAGATTCTGGGTCCCACCCTCAGTTGAGGAGGGGTTAAAAAATCCTCTAACCAGCTGCCTGTGGATTGAGTTGGGCCGGACACTCTTTGGGACCGGACATTGGCAAGGCTGTTGGACAGAGTGATGCAGTTGGCCCTAAGAGAACCTTTGGCACTGGGTGGGTGGAGCGGCCTGTGACCCTGTTAGGAATGAGGGAAGAGGCTGAGGGGGTGGTGACACAGCCAGCTAGCTGTAAGTGGCCCTGTGCCTCAGAGGTAGGCCAGCAAACTCCCTGCTCTAGGGGAGGACTGCGGTGGGCTTTGGAGTTACAGAGACCTAGAAAGTTGTGTGACTTATCACACCTCAGTTTCCTCATCTGGAAAGTGGGAACAGGAATGAGTCCTCCACAGAGGCTGAGTGGACTCAGGGAGAGGCCCAGGGAAGAGGAGCAGCGGGTGCCTCCCCTGAGGCAAGTGTGGGAGTGATGACCAGCCTTTCTTCCTTCCTTTGACCAGCCTTTCTCCATTCCTTTCCCAGAGGCTGGCCTTTCCCAGAAAGGCCTGGAACCTCCTTGTCTCCATGTCCCAAGCCCTCCACTCTGCCCACTCCCTGGCCTCTGTCTTGGGGGCTCTCCCCTGTGACTGGCCCTGCATCTCATGGGTGGGACCTTCTGTGTAGGGCATTTTCACCCATCGAGTGTCCAGGGACTTCTGTGGCTGATGTGGTCCCAGCCTTGGTTGGGTCTGAGACTTGAGGCCACTACTTCCCTGGAGGAAGTGGGGTGTGTGGCCCTCACTCATCCAGAGTTTTCCAGGGAAATGTTGCTTTCTTGGCCTTCCTCCCTTGAGCCTCCCGGGACTGCTTGAAGCAGGAAGGGTAGGTGATACTCCCCTGACTTAGAGGGAGCGAAGGCCCAGAGAAGAGCTTGGGCTGGGATCACCCAGCAACTTGGCAGCCCAGTCAAGGCCTAGATTCTTTTTTTTTTTTGAGACAGAGCCTCAGGCTTTCCCCCTGGGTAGAGTGCTGTGGCATCACAGCTCACAGCAACCTCCAACTCCTGGGCTTAAGTGAGTCTCCTGCCTCAGCCTCCCAAGTAGCTGGGACCACAGGCGCCGGCCACAGCGCCTGGCTACTATTTGGTTGCAGCCATCATTATTATTTGGCGGGCCCGGGCTGGATTCAAACCCGCCACCTTAGGTGTATGTGGCTGGTGCCTTAGCCGCTTGAGCCACAGGTGCCGAGCCAAGGCCTAGATTCTTATTCACCTTCTGAAGGAGATAGAAATAAGGTGTAGACGGGGGCTTTGTTCTTCTGCCTGAGCCCTGAGCCCTGTCCCTGTCATGGTGACCCCTGGGCACCATCCCAAAGCAGCCTGGCCCTGTGCAATTCAGCTTGGTGGGCACCAACCCCACCTACCTGTGCCCCAGCCAGATGATTCAAGAATTGGACAGTCCCTAAAAGGCCCCAGGAGGCTCCTTGCCAGGCTCTCTCCATGTGAAATGTTTGAACATGCTGTTTTCTGACCCACGGCAGGGCAGACATTCTGATCCCCTTGGCCCAGTGAATCTTAAACACAGCCAGGCCTGAGAAGGGGCAGCCTAGGGTAGGGCCAGGAGCATGAGGCTCAGACCCGGTCCAGACCCTGCTCTTTTGCTGTGGCCTTGGTTTGTTCTGTATGGTAGGGGACTTAGAGGGTGGTCCTTAAGGATCCATCAGTTGGAACACTGGACGAGTCCTGGTGAGTGTGGGCCTGGTGCTGGGTGGTGGGCCCTGATGACATGAGCCCTCTGCCCACTGCCCCTTGCTACATACGAGGCAGAGGGCCTCTAACACATGGGGCTCAGTGAAGGAAGCCAGACAAAGGCACCTGCTGCCTAATAGGAAATGTACAAAAGTTTGCAGGACACAAAGCAGATTATGGAGGGACAGTGGGGGGTGACTGCTGATGTGTTGAGGGGTTTCTTTTGGGATGATGAAAATGTTCTGGAACTTGATACAGATGGTGGTTGCGCAGCAGTGGAAATATACTAAATGCTGTAGAATTGTGCAAATCAACATAACAAATGTATTGTGTAAATCCTGCTGCCCAGGGCACTGTGGGATCCTGAGCCACCTGCTCACTGAGAGGTCTTGGCAAATCCCTGTGTGCTGTGCCCTCGTTGGCAGACGAGGGTAAAACTGTACAGCTCCCTTGCAGGGCAGGGGTTAAAGGGCATCATTTGGTTTAGAGCTCTGCTTGGCCTGGTTTGCAGGCCCTACGATTGTGGCCCCTGCCAACATTGTGCACTGGTTACAGTTTTAAAAATGTGTATTCATGTTATCTATTTTCTGCTAAAATTGAGGTCATTCTGAAGTTGATGCTACATTTTGCTTTCTTCACTTAATTTTTTTTTTCAGTATTCTTTTTGTATCTTCACTTAATGTTATGGTAAGAATATTTTTTACATCATTAGAAAGTCTTTTAAAAGGGCCGGGTGTGGTGGTTCACACCTGTAATCTCAGCACTTCGGAGGCCGAGTGGGTAGATTGCCTGAGCTCACAGATTTGGTACCAGCCTAAGCCAGAGCAAGACCTCATTAAAAAATAGCTGGGTGATGTGGCGGTGCCTGTAGTCCCAGCTACTTGGGAGGCTGAGGCAAGAGAATTGTTTAAGCCCAGCAATTGGAGGTTGCTGTGAGCTGTGATGCCACAGCACTCTACTGAGGGCAACATAGTAAGACTCTGTCTCAAAAAAAAAAAAAAGCCTGACTTCATAAGCCTTCAGGATAAACATACTCTTACCTCCAGTCCTGTCTTCTTTCAGAGCTTTCCAGACTAGCGGCAGCAACCATGGCCCCAACGTGGGTGCCCGCTGTGGGCTTCACACTGGTGCCCAGCCTGGGCTGCTTCTTGGGCTCCCATTTTGTCCGTGGTGAGAACCTCCGCTGGTATGCCAGCCTGCAGAAGCCTTCCTGGCACCCGCCCCGCTGGGCACTGGGCCCCATCTGGGGCACACTCTACTCGGCCATGGGGTAGGTGGACATGGGTGCTGGCCCCTTTCCCTGGGGAGGCCCAGGCATGGGGTGGAGGTTCTCCTGGGTGTCAGTGCTCCAGGTGGGCTGTGGGCAGTGGGCACGTCTCTCCAGCCTAGTCTAGGAAGTCAGGGTGGAAAGTGGGGACCTCTCAGTTGCACAACTGAACTCTTCCCTTCTGGGCTTCCCAGGAGGGCAGGCTGGATGCTCAGCCCACACTGGCATCCTGGGGTGTTCCTGCTGTAGGCGGGGGCCAGCTCTGTGTATAAAGGTCAGAGTGGGCAGTGGCTGGGCCCCTGCCAAGATGAATAAGGGCAACAGTAGCAGTGACAGTGGCTCCTCCTTGCTGAGCCCCTGCTCAGGGCCAAGCTTTATCTCGTTTAATTCTCACAACCCCCATTTGATGCGGGACCTACCAAGGACACAGGGCTAGAAACTTAGGAGCATCTTAGGCCCCAGACTGACCTCAAGGTCTCCTGCCTCTAGACCCAAGCAATTGCCCCTGGTGGCTATGTAGTCACTCTCCTGCAGTGTTCCCTACATCCTGTTTTTGTGCCATCCCAGTGTAGGGTGACAGGCAGCAGGTGCCCCAGGGAGCAGATAGCAGAGGCTAGGCCACTGCCAGGAGTTCTGATGGGACTACAACCCAGGAACTGAGTGTCACCTGGACAGCCCTCCCCCACACTGCTGGCACAGCCCCTGCCCAGCCAGGGTCCCTGTAGGCCCCTGCTTTCTCCTCTATCATACCAGCCCTGGAACCACTGTTTCTGCCTCAACTCATCTGCAGCCTGGGGGCTCCCCTAATGCCCTTGGCCTATCTCCACCATCCAGATTTGACAAGCACTAACTTGGCCCCAGCCTCTCTTTTGTGGGACCTTTGGAGGGTCCCTGTGGCCCTGGATGAGGTCAGACCCCTCGGGTGGAGGGTAAGGACCTGGGCTCTGGGCCCAGACCACTTGGGTTCACATCCTGACTTTAGCTGACAAGTGGCTGCCTACAGACCTCAGTCATGTCACTGCTCTGTGCCTCCGTTTCCTTACTGTAAAGCGGGGGTGTAAGGGGGGGGGGTGATAACACCGCCTACCTCATAGCCCTACCATGAGGGAAAGGAGGTAAGGAGGGGAAGCTTGGAGGGTGCTAGAACAATGCCATCCTGTGTAAGTGCTGGAGTGTGTCAGCTGTCTTTATTGGAGGTGTTGTTGCTGCCCTGAGGTGACAGCTCCCATCACCAGCCCACTGACTGTGTCCTCCCCTTCCCCCGACCTCACCCAGTGGTCACACAGACTTATCCCACCGCTAAGCCTTTGCATATCCTGTTCTATTCCCCTGGCAAACTCCTACTTCTCTAAGTTCTAGCCCAAATGTCTCATTTTCTGTGTGGGGCCCTGGCTGGGTTAAGAGCCTCTTACTCCCTCAGGAGGAGGAGACAAAAAGAAAATAAAAAAGCAAAAGCCTCTTTCTTACCTACACACCTCACATGCTTCCTACTTCATAGCACCAAAGATAATGGCAAATATTTATTGAGTATCCTACGTGCTGGTACTGCATGGAGTGCTGCCAACATGGTGATGCAAAACCCCACAGCAATCCTGTGAGAAACGAAGGTCCAGAGAGGTCAAGCAACTTCCCTGAGGTCACTCAGCAGTCAGTGGTAGGGTGTGCTCGAGCCATCTCTGTGTTGGCCCAGGGGTAGATGAGGCTCCTAGCTTGTTTCCCAATGGTGTCCTGACCTGCTGTATCTGTCTCAGGTATGGTTCCTACATGGTCTGGAAAGAGCTGGGGGGCTTCTCAGAGGAGGCGGTGGTTCCCCTGGGCCTCTACACCTGCCAACTGGCCTTGAACTGGGCATGGCCCCCTATCTTCTTTGGCGCCCGGCAGATGAGTTGGGTAAGTATGTCTTGGCCTGTCTCTTTGGATCCTGTGACATCATGTCCAAAACAGGGTCAGCATCTAAAGAGGGGGCATGGGGTGGCTCTGAGTCAGATGCCTCTAGAACAGCGGTTCTCAACCTTCCTAATGCCACGGCCCTTTAATAGTTTCTGTAGATCGCAACCCACAGGTTGAGAATCGCAACTCTAGAAGCTCTTAGCTAGTGACACGTGGAGGCAGCATGCTGGACACTGGTACCTCCACCACTTAATGTCAGCTCCTCTTTTTTTTTT